GTTTCCCCTTGCTGGACGCAAGGGGAAACTTTATGCTGGGCTAGGCTAATCAGCTCCCAGCCTTTTCTCTATAAGTAACACACAGAATTGTATTTTTATTTATTATTTAGCATTTTTGAAGAGGCAGACAGGGAAGAGAGGGGAATATTACATGAAACAAAGGTCCTTTCAAAATTCTCTGCAAAATGTAAATGAGTGTATTTCCGGAAATGTAAAACTATTGCTTTAAGGTGTAGGACTCTTGATTTTTAAAATATACTTGATTTAGCGCTGGCATTTACCTGAGCCCAGTGGTTCTTGAACACAATCATGCAGGTCTCTGGATCCACCCCTTTCAAGACCAGAGACTGCCCATCTCGGTTTCCATTGGCAACCATGGAGGCCATCATAGTGACCGGATCATACGTGAGTTAAACCATGTCATAGGCAGGAGAAGGAGGACATTCCTGACTGCTTATTGGGTGCAACCATAACCACAGGAGGAAGCATAATCACAGAGGACCTGAGGACACAGAAAAAAAACAAAACAAAAAAAAACACACCACATCATCACACACACAGAGCCACAAAAAGTTGCTCCATAAAATAGCAGTACAGATGCAATGATATGACTGGTGAGTGCAGTGCAATTCTCTCCCTCTGCATGGCTAGACAGCAGCTATGACAGGCACGCAGGAAAGAGAACAATAACAAGCAAAGTCAGATGAGTCAGTAGAGGAGAGAAAGAGACACATTTTGCTCGACTTTGGCTCAGAGAGTCGCCTGCCACACTCTGGACTTCGGACGGAGCTGTCAAATTGCTTTTGGAATACCTCAAACGCCCAAAGTAGATTCCTGCAGGCCCCCTGACATCACTCTCATTACAGAAACATTTTTTGACATCAGAAGGCGAATGGCAACTGGGTGTGAACAACTCTGGCTGAATGTGGGGAGTTAGGGGGGAACAAAAGAAGACTGCTAGTTTTGTATATGACATGAATTTGGTATGTGTGAGTTTTCTTTTTTGGATGACATTTTACAACATATTTTGACAAGTGAGGTCTGCACTGCTCACACTGCTTGTTTGTATGATTATATATATAATTTCAGTTGAAAATAGCTTGCGGGCAGCTTTGCAGATCAGTTCCAACACTCACATTGGCACTGTGGAAATTTGAAAGATGCCCACTTTTTCCCCCAGAAAGGAACTCATTTGTTGTTTTCCTTGGACAGGACATTACTGGAAAGATTGATTCTGTTAAGGAAGACAGAAGTTTTCTTTGACCACACTGGGAACAGAAAGTAGTAGTGCTTTTTCAAACACGATAATGTGAGAAAAAAAAACAAACAGTGAGGTTAAATCCAGCTCTCTGCTACACTGTACCATGTTTCCAGGTATTCGCCTGCACTTCAAGAGGAAGGATGTTAGGATGGGCCTCATCGCCTCATGTTTCCTCTGCAGACAGTGAATGTTTGTGAAGATTGTCATTATGATTTGAAATGAGGTCATATGTACAGTACAGTAGACGAGAATCACAGCCATGTTCAAAGGATCTTACACAGAATCTCTCCAAGAAGTCTACAGCCATGCTGGCAGCTCACTTAGGCTGTACTTTGGCACAGCAGTGCTTTTGAGCTAAATGCTAATGTCAGCATGCTTACATGCTCACAGTGACAGTTAACATCCTGATGTTTAGCAGGATTACCACTTTCATCATCTTACCTTAGCATGTTAGTATTGATAGCATACTAACATACAACAGTTGCTAATTAGCACTTACCACAAAGTACAGCTGAGGCTGATAGGAATGTTATTAGTTGAGTAGAAATCAGGTCATAAATAAAAGTACTGGGCGAAGTAAATTCTGGTTTTATCTAATACCGGATGATGGCATAGAGGGAAAGACAGCCAATCAAAGTTATTCGGATTCATTATCTGGAAATCAGCAATTTCTGTACAGCATTTTGTGCCAATACATTGAGTAGAAGCTCAAATATTTCACTGAATAAATAACTTTAACTTTACTAAGTAGAAAGTGTGCCAATAGTTGTATATACATTTCACTAAAAAAATAAAATATCAACCTCATGGTGACTCTCAGGAGATCAAGAATGCCTGCACAAAATTTCATCTAAATCCCTTCAATATATATTTAATTCTGGACCAAATTGGTGGAGCAACAGACTTGAGCCATGCTGCTAGAGTGGCCAAAAAGTACGACATGTTTAAAGTATGGTACACAATGCAGGATCATATGAACTCTGACACCACAGGGAATCAACTGTGGAACACACAGCAGCTGCATGCCACAATACCAAATTAGAGCCTCTAGCTCCTGCCCCTAGATGTGCCTCTAAACCAATCACAGCTTACCCCGTTCTTTTGAATCCACTTTTCCCCCAGAGCCACAGAAACATCCCCACCAACCACAGAGTTTAGGCATAACAAGGCACAGAGTCCAACTTTCACCATCTGCTTTCAGTTAGAGAGTGCCGGCTGGTTGGATTCTTGAGAAGGAATGTAAAAGCAGCGTGGAGAGTGTGTCAGATTGTGTGTATGTGCGTGTGTGTGTGTGTTGGGTGTGTGTGTGTTGGGTGGGAGAGGGAGGGGTGGGGGTCTTACCTTTGCTGAACCATCATTAACAGGGACGGGTTGCAGACAAGGACCTCATTCTTGTCCTGTTGTCACAAAAAAAAAAGGAGAGAGACGAAGATATGTCAAGAGAGGAGTAGGAAGCGGGTGTCCGTGTGAGAGGCCAGGCGTGGTGGGAAGTGACTGGACATGAGTAAGCTTCTCCGAACGCCACTTGGATGGAGATGGAGAGGAGGAGGTTACACGAAGGGAGCGAGGGAGGGAAGAACTAGGAGGGGGAGGGAGTTAAAAAGGAAAAACAGGGTAAGAGAAAGTCTAAAGAAAAGGAGGAGGTACAGGAAAAACAACAACAACACATGCATATAAAGCACAGAATAAACCAAACGTCAGCAGCACTTATTTTTGTAGGAATGCAAACCTCATGATCCCTCCATCATGGGAGAATAACACTATTGTCATTTTTAATTAGTGTTGTCATTTGGCATCCTTCTCAACAGCGAGAGGCCCATTCCTCACCAACATTACAACTAGCCCTCCCAGGCACTTACAGCCATCATGGGAATCATGTCAGCAGCCTCAAAAGAGAGAGTTTTTAACCTCATGTACAATACAACACACTGACCACTGATGTTGATGTTTTGGTCTGCAAGAATTTCAAAATGTGGGTTTCTTGGAGAACGTGCAATCTCTAATAAAAGCGTGATGTCGTGTAAACAGAAGGAGTGAGAGGGAGACAGATGGAGATGTGTGTGGGTGAGTGTGCTAAAGAGGAGTCATCAAACACTCATTTTGTTTTTCAGGCTGGTTTTGTGCCTTGCTATGGACTCACACATGCAATTATTCCACTAAGTATAGAAGCCACCCATGGAGTTGTACATTCACTGGTAAATGGCATTTGTACATTACATTCAATGCAAGTTAGACACATTGTGATTAAATGCTGATCCGCTCTAGCAACAGCGTGAAACTTAATTTTCCTATTTAAAGGCCTGACAGCAGGTTTAACAATGGTTGCCATGCAGGAAACCAGCTGCTGATTGCTATATTTGTATCCTTTATAACTGCAGTGATAATGTTACTATGTAATCATACCTGCTGATAAAGAATATTTTACATAACACACATATTAATAGTTTCTCTGTGTCTCCATTTAACATAAAACAGATTTAACCAAAAAGAATTGGTTCATCCTCACTAGCAGAACTTACTGCATATATATATATATATATAGTATATATATAGTAATATAGTATAGTTCTATAGTATATCAGTATTATATATATATATATATATATATATATATATATATATATATTATATATATATTATATATATATATATATATGTACATGTTGGTTGACAAGTAAGACATTACAGTAGAGAAATACCAAGGATATGTTTGGGCTATTAAGAAAAACAGTGTCATTATTCATGTTTTTTTGTTTGTTTGTTTTTGTTTTGTTTGTCTACCAGTGAGACAGAAAAAAAAGTTTCTTTTTCAGAGCTCCTTATGAAAATGTTTCTATTTTATGTAAAAAAAAACAATAACAAAGCAATGAGCTAATTAAAGAGATTTTTAAAACTCTAAAATATGAACATATTAAACTTAAAAAAAGATTATTGGTCACTGGAATGACAAACAGTGATAGGCAAACATTAACATTAGAAATTTACATACAATATAAGTTGGTAGAAACTTAATATGAAATATGAATATAGCTCTTTATTTTAGAGCAGTGGTTCTTAAGGACCCCCATACTGATACCAATCAGTTGCAGACACACATATGATAAGATGTAGTCTCAGGGATCCTTAATCCATAACTGTCTGTACTGTAGATTGGCAGATTAACAGTAGGAGTGTGAAGCCTATGAACACAATAGTCATTGTCTAATAAACTTTTAAACTTTTATAATATTTCCCCAGAAACCACCTCACCCCCCGGGAATCCCCGGACCCTACGTCAAGAGCCACTGATTTGCTGCAGTCCCATTTTAAATTGCCCTGTCCATCATCCTGCTTCATGTAGCGCGCTCAGGCTTACTTTGCCTCTCCAGTAAATTTTACTGATGCTTTTATGTTCGATTTCAGCTGTCTCTGTGTGTGTCCAGCTGTCTTGTTGGTTATTGTCAAAAAACTTTCAGTGGTACAGCAGACAGCGAGATTAGCCTGATGTAAGCAGTGATTAACTACTCTCAGACAACAATACCCTGGCAACAACTCCTCTCAAATATGCTCCATTTGGTACAGTACATTTCTGTTTGGAAGTAGAAGCCAAAAGGGTTAAGATTTGGATTTACCAACTCAATATACCACAAATAAAGACCCAGAGTGAGTACCGACTGAGAACCAGCACTTTATAATACTCTTAACAACCCATTGAGCGTCTGAATATCCAATTTTCCATCCAGCACAAAAAAAACGTCACACAGAAGGAGAGCCCTCAGTTACCAAGAAGACACTGCTCTACTTGCTCAAAATAACCTCAAGTACAGTAGAGCCAGAAATGGGACATGCAGAGCCAGAATATAGGTTGTTAAAAATACACTTTTGCGTGTGTGAGAGAGAGAGTTGGTTCTGAAAAAGATTCTTAAATAGTTTCTTTAGATAGAATATTTATTAATATTGAGAATATTTTCATGAGACTACAACGTTGTGTGTGTATGTGTATGTGTGTGTGTGTGTGTGTGTGTGTCTGTAGGTGTGTGTGTGCGTGTTTGTGTGTGTGTATGTGTGTGTATATTGTCTGTTTACAGTCTCAAACTGCCGGGTTAGCATCCTTACTGCTACACAAGCCTCTCCTGATTTTGTAATTTCCAATTATCCAATTATGGCAATTTGATAATTACACATATTTGTTGCTTCAACTTCTCTACAGTCAGAGACATAATCAACAGAGCCCAGCCTGAGATTTCCCTCAGTGCAGATGCAGTTAGCTACACCCATAGACGTTGTAAATACACTCACATTTCTTTCTTACATAAGTAGATATTAGATGACACAGGGTCACTTCTTCGAGAAACAGACAATGCCAATACTAATAAACGTCATTCTCAGACTGTAATCCGGTAATAAATCATAAATGCTTTCCTAAATGTCGGTTGATGTTGAGGGCTAATGGATTCACTTCTACCAAGAATCCAAATGTCACAAACAATCAGAGACAAATTGGGAAGAAACTTGGGGAAACTGTTTGCCCTGTCGCGTTTCAGCATCTTTTCAGTCATATTGACTGACTGAGGGAAAGCAGGATCATTACAAATCAAATCTGGGAGACGGAAACTTGTTTCAAACATACCATTAGAGAAAATATATTTCACTCTATAACACAGTTATTGTTACCTTTGTTATTTAACTGGACAATAAGCTTTGAAGCACTAATGATATTCCTCTCTTATTCTTTTTATTTGTTTGTCACTCTTTGATATATTCTTTGATGTTTGGCAATGACTGAAGGTTTTATAAGCCAACTATTCAGTCAGCTGCTTGTTATTTTTATCATTAGGTGTACCTAGCTTTAATTAATGCATAATATTCAACTATATGGTAAATCTGGAGGCTGCAGCTTGTGGTGCTATTGAATTGTATTGCGTTAAACTGAGAGGTGCATCCAATATACGCTCACTGATATAAATCATGTGAACAAAATATGACAAACATTTTCCTGTGGGTCTCCTGTAGGTGATTGACAGCGGGCAGACCGAAAAGTAATGCCCACATTAAAATATAATGGCTCAACTCAGGAAAATGAAATAACAATAAAACCAAAGCTGTAACACAGCCAAATTGAATTCCCTTGTCTTAAACTAAATTACCAGACGCAATGCACCATCATTCAAAGCTTTACCTTCTTTACACTTACTGCTGCTAAAATCATCTCCTTCAGATTAAAGCAAAATAAGTGTTCGGCTCATCCTTATGAACAAGGACTCAGATAATTGCCAAGAGTTGTTACAAACAATCAATTTTGTCATGTTTTTACCCTTTTGCCAACTGCAAACTGGTTTAAATAATTACTTATTATCACACAGATACAGCTGGAAACAAGGGAGTTCCACTTGTGTTCAATGGAAATGGTTTTTAAAAGTGTTTTTCGCATAAAGAGCAACAGGCTCTTCATCTCCACACTCCTACGGTAAACATGATGACAAAGTGAGAACATGAGCTTGGCTATTGTGTTGCACATTCAGAGTCTCTTTGGAGGAATAAAAAAAACACAGATAAAGCCCCAGGCTGAAAGGAGCAAATGCAGTGTAAACATGAAAGCGAAATGCTCTGGGGGGTTTTTGTCTTCTTTTTTTTTTCTAATCTGGTTTTCTAGCATTGTCAGCTTTCGACCATCCCAAAGGTTTTCATGCACACAGGTGTGGTCTGGACAAATAGCTTAGAGGCAAGACACACCCTTTACTCAGAATAAAGATCATCTTTCTTGTTAAACAGGCGTTTTAAACAATCCCAGAGACTTTTAATTAATGAATAGTCGAGTAGGTGTGATCTGCTTTACACTTTACACATAACTGAACTTGTCTTTTGTCTATGGTGAGGCATTTTGGATGTTAGATACTAGACTGACACTAGTTTCATTTCTCCTCAATGAGCCTTGTAGTCTGTTCCTCTTTACTGAAGGTAGCTCTCACAGAGGGGAAATCTACAGTGGCCTGGTGGCAGCCATGGCAACCCACTGACATACAGAGCCATTCAATTGAGAGCAGCTGTTGAAATATTTAGGGCTACAGGTGAAGCCATTGAAGGGTCAGATAGTGCCTGGTCTGACTATAGTCTTCACCATCCACATACAATCAACAGCACAGCAGGAAGGACAAAGCCATTAATTTTCTTATCTGTGTGTCTATTATCCCCTCAGGCAGCGGGGCAGTGACCGCTGTGTTGGACCATTTATCTTGAGAAGAGACAGATTTTCTATTGAACTCATGTCCAAATGTCAGTAGGACACAAAGATATCTTAAATGATTTGACATCTGTTGTCATTTTCACTGTTAAATGTCATAAACAGAAGAATTAATAGAGAAAGACAAATAATTACACATTTTTAATTAATAACTCACTAATCCTTTGACGACAGCTA